TTATAAAAAAAGGGAGACAAGAACGACATAAATAATTATAGACCTATCTCTATCTTGTCGTTTTTTTAAGGGCTTAGAAAAACTTATTCACATTCGTCTGTCAATTTTTTTAATAAGCATCGTGTAATTACTAATGATAAATTTGGGTTCATGAAGCATCGTTCGACAGACCTAGCATTACTAGAACAAAAAATAATTTATTTTAGAGAGTTTTAAGGCAAACCAGGTAGCTTTAGCCGTATTTATTGATTTTACGAAAGCATTCGATTATGTAAACCATAATTTATTGCTAAAAAGACTTTATCCTTATGGAATTCGGGGCCAAGCACTTACGTTGCTTCAGTCATATTTGAGTGATCGTAAGCAGTTTGTCTATTTAAATGGATTTTCATCTAATACAAAGTCTGTTTTCTCTGGTGTACCACAAAGGAGTATTTTGGGACCTTTGCTATTTAACATTTATATTAACGATATTGTTAACATAGATTCTCTTGCTAAATTTGTCATATATGCAGACGATACAACTCTTTTATTTTCGGCTAAGACTAGTGGTAAACTTATCAACTGCGCAAAATGATACTTTAACAGGGTTGCAAAATTAAATATCCGACAACGGACTTTAAATTAAGAATAGTAAAACTAAAGGAGTTGTCTTTCGAACCAAAAATAAAAGCGTTTTATAACGAAAAGTCTCGTAATAAATTGAAATGTCATAAAGATAGTGGAGAATTTGAAAAGTCCTGGCGTTTATCTTAACCAGTATTTGTCTTGGGACGACCATGTAAGCTATAAGTTCCTAGATTGTCCAGGGTCATTGGATTAGTCTCACGAAACCGTTTTATTGTACCAAACAACGTTAAACTACTTACTGTAAACGACTAAATTTTCGCGAGGACCTAATTTTCGCGAATTTCTCGAATCGCCTACAAACGCGAAAAGTATGTCCAGCGAACAACTCGGGCAATATGTGAACGCTACGGAGGCGATACTCGCTTCGCGAAAATTAGAATCCGCGAATAATTTAAAATTTACAGCTTTTGTCCGATTCGCGAAAATTTGATCCTGCGAAAATTAAGTCGTTTACAGTATATATACAACTCTATTTACATCCCATTTAAACTACTGCCACCTGGTACGGGGTAGAACCACCAGTTTCAATCTACAAAAAATACATCTATTACAAAAAAAATTGTCCGCTTCATTGCTAATGTTTCTTATATGTAAAGCGCCGAGGGTTTGTTTGAAAAATATATTTTGTTGCGCGTTTTCGATATGTATACGTATAAACTTATAGTCCGCTCTAAGGTAGAAAAAAAAAGAAACGTGGATATTCCGGCCAAACATTCTAAACTAAGGAAACATTTTACCTCCTATCCAACTCGTTCGGCGGCACATTGGGCTGTGCCTCCTTGCCATAACAACTATTCCATGCCTTCTCTAAAGTATACGCTACCTACTTTACTAAATTTCCTCTTAAACAAAAACGTTGATATAATTTCTGTCACAATGCAAGACTTATTTTCTTATTTAAATGGAATATGTTAGTTTTCTGCGATAGGTTGTACTCTATTTTGTACACAATGTTGATATTTTTGCTGTTGCTTTGTATTTTTAGCTGTCATATGGAACTGTAAGGGAGCAGGGGACTCCGTCAAGGTAGAAAACAGCTTTTTCCCGCTATTTCCTCCATTCCTGTATCGAACGGGAAATAAACTTTATTAATGTTATTATTATATTAAGTCACTGAGACCTTTAAATGCAAGAAACATATTACAGGAGTACACTTATGACTGCCTACGTGTAGGAATACGAAAGCATTATAGTCCAGCCAGGGAAATGTTTTCAAGTAATGTTTCTACACGTTTCTACACACACGTCACAGAAAAGACCTTACCTCTTCTGTGACAAAGCATCTGCGTTACCGCGCACATATCGAGGACAACGTCAAGGACGGCATCTAGGAGAACGTCAAGGACGACGTGACGTCTAGGACAACCTCTAGGACGACGCCTAGAACGACCTCTCGAACGACGTTGAGGACGACGTCACGTACGGCATCTAAGACGACGTCATGGATAACGTCCTAGAGGACGACATCAAGAACGACGTCTAGGACGACCTCTAGAATGACCTTAAAGCACCCCTGAAAAGAAACAAACATTTTTTTGAAGCAGTCTGGTTGGGACACGCGTGTCAAAAAATAAATTTTACGCGAAAAAAAATAATTTTTAGAGCAAAATTGACGGCGAGAAATTTATAAGAAATTCTGCGCGCAAAGTCCATGACGTCACTGGTCATTCTGGAATGACTATCTCGCGCAGTCAATATTGCTCCAATTTTTTTTTTCGCGTAAAGTTTGTTTTTTGACACGCGTGTTCCAACCAGACTGTTTAAAAGAAAAACATTTTTTTTCTTTTCAGGGGCCCTTTGAGGGCAACGTCTACGACGACGTCGAGAACGACGCCTAAAGAACGACGTCAAGAACGACGCCAAGAATACGACGTCTAAGATGACCTCAAGGACGACCTCGATGACGACGCTAAGGACGACGTCGTCCTTGAGCATACGATTGATCGGCACGTGCTAACGTCAGTCCAGCGCATACTGTTAGGTTCCGGAGGGAGGGACGAGAACGCAGGAACGTCGAGTCCGGATTGAGTTTTAGATGATATAATTGAAAAGAAGAGGGGATGAATTGTCGCTCTCGGCTCAACCAGACCGAGCGCTCCCCTGGTCCCGCGCTCCCCTTTTTATACCCGGTCCGTTGATTCACGTCACGGTTCGCGCAGCCTTCGCTCCCGTTGATTGGTAGAGCGGGAGGTGGTGGCGACAGAAATTTGGCTGCAGCCAGTTGTTCAGGATGGCGCGAGTCTTTTAATTGTGGTTGATGAAGAAGAATTCTCGCGCCGTGGCACGCTTGCGGATGGTAAGTGCCCGGGTGCTATGGTCTGCAGCGCAGTTCAGTGGTCCTTATATGGACTTGTCCTGGCCTACAGACTGAGCGCACTCGCCTACTTATAGCTGCAGGTCTCCAACACAGTGCACCCACCAGCTACCATAAGTGGCTGCATGACAACAACTATCACAAGACATTGCTTCAATTCATCCATACCACAGGTCTTCTAGCATACATATAAGACATTTATGCCTAAAGGCAACCCCCTACGTAAAAAAAAAAAAAAAAAAAAACTCCCTAACAATACCCGCGTTTACCCCCCCCCCCCCCTCCCCCCCCAAACGTTACTGGAGCAAGCTTGCTCCAGTAACGTTGGTCTGCCCCCCCCCCCCCCCCCCCTTTTTTTCCGGATACGCCACCAGCAGTTAGACTGGCTCCTTAGCAACGGTGACGCTGTTTCACTGACGCCACATGACGTGTCGCAGCCATTGGGAATTCAGGCGCCGTTTTCGGAGGACCAACAACGCCGGCTACGCGCTATGATACAGTTATTGCTTTCACATTAAAATTTCAGAACGAACCACGCTCTTTCGCGTCAGTGGTTCGGTTTGATTTCTTTTAAGCCGAAAGCCTTACTTGTCCCGTAAGCGAAAAAACGTCGAAAAAGCGATAAAAATACGTTTGAACGGCACGCGCCGCTTCATGGGCGGCCATACACTTGTCCCATTACCTTGGCGTAGTCCATGCGGTCGTCCTAGAAGTCGGTCTAGACCTCTAGGACGACCTCACTTGTCTCATACGTAAAAAAATGCGGCGGCGGCATTGTTAGCGTCGGCGTCGTCCCAGACGTCGTCCCAGACGCCGTCCCTGACGTCATCCTGGACGTCGTCCTAGAGGTTGTCCTAGACGCCGCACTCTGTGTCGATCTCTAGGACGTCGTCCGCGACGTCGTCTTATACGTCTTCCTGAACTTTAATACGTATAGAAAGAAACATTCCTCGAAAACATTTCTCCCGCGGAACTGTAATGCACTCGCCTTCCTACACGTAAGGAGTCTTAAGTGTACTTCTGTAATTTTTTTAATTGCTAGGTTTGTGGCCAAGAAAACAGATGGCACGCCTCAGTTATATACCTACCTCCATGTTGAATAAACCTGAGACTGGGGCAGAAATGAACATATAAGTTGAAGAAACAGAAAAGGGCAGGACGACGTTCGTCCTGTCCCTTTCTGCTCTTTCAACTCATTTGTTCGTTATTATAATGTAACTAAATGCAAAGGTTCAAGCGAGCTGGACATTCTTGTCCAGCTCGCTTGCATTTTTGCATTTAGTTACATTATAATAAAAACCTTAAATTGCAAGCTTCACCCTTGTTGAAGTTAGACTGGTGGCGGCTAATAAAAACTGTTTCCTCTACTGACGTCTAACCCCTGGTTAGCTCAGTTGGTAGAGCGCTCCACCTGTAACGGAGAGGTCCCGGGTTCGATACCCGGACCAGGCGGATTTCTTCGGTTACGCACCAGTCACCTAGCTGTGTTTGGAGATTTGAGTCCGTCCCTTGTCCCTCTTGTTCCCCTTTTCCAGGAATTATTTTCGTCATATATGTTCATTTCTGCCCCATTCTCAGGTTTATTCAGCACGGTTAACATTCACCAGCTGGCCCGCACCCTTACTATATTATACCTACATCATTTATGCATAAAAGAGGTAATGCGCCCTACGAATGTGATGAGAGATATTAGCTTTTAAACGGCAAATACCCGAGGCCTATTATATAAACATATATTAGGATAAGATGTATAGGAACATAAAACATATGTTTATATCCCTACAGCAAGATAAACATTTGGATTACAATTATGCTACAGCAAACGTCGTTGCTTGCGTCATGGGAAGTACACATTTTGATATAAACATCCTGTGAATTGGTTTCAAATGTGACAGACGACATTATTGACGTCGGCGAAAAATATTCCAAAATCGTCACGGGTGAATAGACAAACGTTTACGCACCACAAGATGGAGCAAAATGCTATCGCACATCTACGACGATCTGGGCTGCGATTTCGCCTGTAATGTGCATTTGATTTCGTTTGCACTTGCAGGATCGCAGGGAGGGACCGGATCTCCAACTCTGCAAAAGGTAGAGCTGCCCATTGTGGACATTTACACCTGTTTGACAGACTACCTTCACGATCATCCAGTTGATACTTCCACCATGATCTGCGCTGATCCCAAGCTAGGCGGAAAATCAACCTGTCAGGTAAGACACAAGACCTACAGAAACTCCTATTGTTGGTGAACTAGAAATAATAGTGAAATAGTCTTCAATAAGACGCCTAAAGGGCATGCATTTTCATAAAGCGTGTAAGGCCGGTGCTTGAAAGGCGTCTCAATGCTCGTTCACACAATTGCGATTGCTTACGACCAAGTGCGTCCTATAGGGGTGTGGCGAACCTTTGTCGAACCGGATTTTTAGGTCGAACTTTTGGGGTTCGACTGGGTTGAACCGGTTCGACGAACATTCGACCTTTTCACCAGATTCGACCGGTCCGACTCTGGGGACAGTGTGGCCAGACCTTGATACAAGCATGTCTAGGTTTGGAGAATTTTTTTTTATGCAAAGTGCTTTTTTTTATTTTATGAAGAGTTGCAATTAAAATAAACTAATGCTAATCACTGAAGAAGTTAATAATTTAATTTTTTGTACTGTATTAACTGAAATAACCAATCAGTGCTGTTCATAGTTCATCCCTTAGCCATCAGCACCCAATCCGAAACCAACTGGCCAAGCTGCCGCGCATGCGCATAGCAGTCGAACCTTTGCCGAACTTTTCACAAGAAGGTCGAAATATCGAACCTCGACCGGTTCGCGACACCCCTAGTTGTGACCTCTTGTGGTTTCTTACGACGGGACAACACACTGCCGCCATCTCTCGCGTAGCCGGGGGCGAATTGCGATTTTTGTATATTTATTATATTTTCGCGAGTTATTCTATCACGATTGTCCTGAAAGTCTTTTGACAATATTATAAACAACTACATCTTGTTGATAGTACCTACATTGCATCTCGCAAATATAACGTGTCAATACATTCCTCCCCCCCCCCCCCAAAAAAAAAAAGACAACCAAAAAACGTAAAGCTTTTTATTTTTTTTTTATTGCGAAAATTCGCTAAATATACACATCATTGAAGGCTCATTCTCCGCCAAAATATAGCGCTAGCGCTTTGAACCAGATGCCAAAGTTTCAGAACTGGGTCGCTAAACTCGTCAAACGCAAAGCATGGGCCGAAGTTTGCAGATCGTGCATATTGGATCGTCGCGACCATGCCGTCACGCGGGACGAGATGTCAATCATCCAAACTTTCTCTGTGCTCCAATGGACCTATTGCTATTTACCCAAGCATCAAAGAGAATGCAGGGATTGGTGTTCCACGCGCCGCACGCGCTAACTTCAGCGGTAGTAACTTTTCTAAAGCAAATACCTAAAACAAATGGCATCTTGCACGCGCGTTCGTCAACGCTTTATTTTACTTGTTTACTTCGAATCTTTTATACGGGAAAGGCGCGCGCGTGTGGCGCGTGGAACATCAATCCCTGCATTCTCCTTGATGCTTGGGTAATATAGAAAATGGTCTATTCCAGAGAGATTGTGAATCACAGTCGTATCGAGCTTCATCGGAGCGCGCGCTAGCAACACCGTGGGGCCAGGCGATTGAACGGCTGCACTGATGACGTTGTGCTCGCGTGTTCCTACATTCCTACGCCGCGTTAGAGTCGATGCTGTCTAGATTTTCCGGGGCTTTGAATACTCTGAAGTTTCACTTCGCAAGATCGTCGTTTGTGGAAGTTAGTGGTGAAGACAAAGTGACATTTCACAACTTTGGGACAAAGTTATTTGAGACCAAAATCTTCGCTTCGGAGTCGAGACGAAGATTGAACTTTGTGATATTGTGGAGCCGTGCGCGGTGAACGCGGCATTAGAGCTCATCTTCCAGAACTCGCAACAACACCGCCGTGGTCACCCAGAGGCGGTGTGTATAGTGACGTCGGTTGTGTTTGAGGGATGAGGGGGGAACGGGGGTTGCCAAGAAAAAACCGGAGGAAGGGGAAATAAAAAAGGGGTACGATCAACACAAACAAAAATAGGGGACAGAAAGTGCCGTACAAAATGTTCGCGCCCCTAATTTTTTAGTATACCTTTCTGAAATGTCTGAGCACTGTATAGGAAGCTATGGTTTGGGGCTGGGGTGGTCGCCTTCTTTCCTTACCCCTTTATGACTTGGAATAGCGCTGCGTGCAATTTTCTAAATAATGGTTCGAGAGGTTCTAGAACTAAAACGGTTCGCATTTCATGAACTCACGAGAGGCAATGACAGACTTTCAAGCGAGAGGTTCGTGCTACGGCTCGCAGCGTGCAGGCGCGTTAAGTGACGTCCTTTTATAGTTCTAACTCTTGACGTCAGGGTGAGGATTATCAGTCTGTGAACGACAAATTCGATGGTGCTTGTTCAAATTGACGGTGACAACTTCAATTCTGTACGATGGAAGCTTGGAGTCATCGCGTTCTTAAAACATCACCGGCAATATTAACGACCTGATATTAATTACTCTTATTTCCGTTGATTACAGCAGAATAGATCTCAGTCTGGCGAATCTTGGAAAGCCCACCACACCGACGCTTTTGGCGGCCTACATAGCCCATAGTCACTGCATCCAAGAAAAAAAAAACAGTATATATTTTTTCGCTAGGGGTATCCACTCGAAGGAGAAATCCGCCCCCTTCCTCCGCGGATCGCGCATCACGTGAGACCTACGTCATTCCCTTTTGACGCCTCGCGGCGCGTTCTCCTCCGTGGCGGAGGCGCGGAGGCTTCGCACTGTTAGCACGAAAGCTCCGCAGGTGCACGCGGCGGAGCCGGGGACGGACTTTCCCGGGTTATTGACGTCACGACATCCGACCGCGGAGTTCTCCTTCGTGTGGATACCCCATCCACACGAAGGAAAACTCCGCGGACGGATGTCGTGACGTCAACAGCCCGGGAAAGTCCGTCCCCGGCTCCGCCACGTGCACCTGCGGAGCTTTCGTGCTGACAGCACGAAGCCTCCGCGCCTCCGCCACGGAGGAGAACGGGAGAACGGCGCCGCGAGGCGTCAAAAAGGGATGACGTATCTCTCACGTGATGCGCGCTCCGCGGAGCAAAGGAGCGGATTTCTCGTTCATGTGGATAGGGGTATCCACACGAAGGAGAACTCCGCGGACGGATGTCGTGACGTCAAAAACCCGGGAAACTCCGTCCCCGGCTCCGCCGCGTGCACCTGGGGCTTTCGTGCTGACAGCAGGGTCATTTTAGGCCAAACGATCCTGCCCCTAAATCGACCATCACGGATTTGGTTTTAAAAATTTGTAGGCACTTAAATCGACGTAAAAGTAATCTTCCCAACATATTTTTGCAGTAAAATTTTTTTTCCTCCTTTGGCGACCCCTTGATTACCCCGAAGAACTGGCTTCTAGGGCTATGTACGGCATTTTTTTTTCCTGGCAGTTCTGAAAGTAGGTTGTAAAATAACACTGTTTTTAGTAACTAAATAGGTCCCTCTAAATGCCCAAATAGTTACTTGCATGTAATTTCAACCTTTTCTTGCAATTCCGGGGCACTACAAATAGCCTAAAATGCCGATATTCACCTTTTTTTCCTCGGAAAAGAACAAAATTATCAGGCATAAATTTTACTTGTATTAATAGCACTTAGATTGAAGTTCATTAAAAAAATATTTTCCGTATGATATTTGTTGCGGTGTTTCGACGAAAAAATCACCAATCTTGAAAATAGCGCAAAAAGAGCAACTTTCACTTAAGATTAACGGTGTGAGGTGGTCGGTCTAAAAATATATTGTCAGCGGCAATGCGTCATTTAGAACCCAGACATCAAATAAGCAATGTTAGAAAACAGTGTTATTTCTTAAACGCGAAAAAATAATTTTTCAATGTCGGTCGCCGCACCGGTCGCGTGCCTGTCCAGAGACGTCGAACAGCGGCGTACTGCAGCGGCGACGCCGCCGGACAACAGAGCAGACGGGTTCGCTACGCGAGCGCGCAAAGCAGACGGGTTCGCTACGCAAGCGCGCAAAGCACACGGGTTCGCTACGCAAGCGCGCAAAGCAGACGGATTCGCTACGCAAGCGCGCAAAGCAGACGGGTTCGCTACGCAAACGCGCAAAGTAGACGGGTTCGGGTTCGCTACGCGAGCGCGCAAAGCAGACGGGTTCGCTACGCAAACGCGCAAAGTAGACGGGTTCGGGTTCGCTACGCGAGCGCGCAAAGCAGACGGGTTCGCTACGCAAGCGCGCAAAGCACACGGGTTCGCTACGCAAGCGCGCAAAGCAGACGGATTCGCTACGCAAGCGCGCAAAGCAGACGGGTTCGCTACGCAAACGCGCAAAGTAGACGGGTTCGGGTTCGCTACGCGAGCGCGCAAAGCAGACGGGTTCGCTACGCAAACGCGCAAAGTAGACGGGTTCGGGTTCGCTACGCGAGCGCGCAAAGCAGACGGGTTCGCTACGCAAGCGCGCAAAGCACACGGGTTCGCTACGCAAGCGCGCAAAGCAGACGGATTCGCTACGCAAGCGCGCAAAGCAGACGGGTTCGCTACGCAAACGCGCAAAGTAGACGGGTTCGGGTTCGCTACGCGAGCGCGCAAAGCAGAAGGGTTCGCTAAATAGGCGTACAAAGCCGACAGCAGAGTCTAAAAAGTGGTTGTGAAACCGTCTGCTAAGCGCTCAGCGGCGTGCGTTCACATGTAATGGGTGTAAAGTGAACAAACCTTTCCCATGGAACCTAATAACGCTGGTAATCTGACTTCCACGGATCATGCCAGGGAATCTCAAGGTGGGTTTTAGGCAATCTTTTTTACTAGTTATTGCTTTTAAACGTTCTAAAAGCGAGGTTTTAGCCTCGTACTTGTTGCAGTAATTTCAGAATAGCAGATGAAATTCAGTTATTTGAGTGCACTGAGCAAACAATTAATCTTTTTTTCGGAAGACCATCTTGTGCCGTGTTCATTGGGGCCAAAAGGGTGCCATAAAACGACGCAAGTCAACAGGAAGTTTTTCGTTAAAATTTCAACTGTGACAGAAAGAGAACAACGCCTTTTGGCTCTGCGTGCAAACAAGGACGAAGACGCGCCAAACACAATATGCGCTCATCATTATCATACTT